ATATTTATTGACTATAACGTATATATTATATTCTAAATTATTTATTATTGTTGTTTTATTTTTTTGAATAATTATTTTTGTTATAAAATATGTATGATTAATAAAAGATAAGTAAGACATCTTGTAGAAATGTATAAAAATATTTATTTTTTAATGTTTAATGTCATATCATGTCAAAATTATCAATGTATTTTTTTTTTAACTATTTAAATGAATGTGCAATTTATCTCCTGGTAAAATATTAAAATATACTAATGAGATAAATTATATTACAATAATGTAATATCGAAAGTTACCTATAATTGAAATTTTTCGAAATTAAACGAAACATCGAGTTAGAAAGTGCAATTAAAATATAACATAAAGATATAGTCAGCAATTTAATAATGGAAATATTCGAACTATATGATTTTTCCATACTAAAAAATATCGAAGTGCTTGAAAAACACTAAATCGCCATCGGGCATCTTGGAACGTTGTTCGGTGCAGACATAGGTAGTCTTATTATAGCCCGGCGTAAATATAATTTTAATAAATCGTACTTTGTTCTCAATACTCTATACTGTTTTAATTTTTATATAATTTAGCATAATTATTATGTAACGATTATAATAAATAAAATACAAAATCGCATCTTAACTATTAAGAGTGATTTTTAAATATATATATTGCGCGGATTCAAAAAGGCAAAGAATATAATACATATAGATACCTAAAATAACATTTTGTTCTCGTGGCATGCGACATCAATTTATGCACGGAAAAAGCGGAAGAAAATATAAGCGAGTGAAAGATAATATTTAATAAAAATACTCTGTTTCGTGTCTGTACCTAGAGACTGACCTGCAATGGCCATCCACGGGTAGAACGTGGTTGTTCTGTTGCTGGTTGAGCTGCAGGCCTGTGCTGGTGACCGTGTTGTGATGCCGGTGCATGTGTTCCACGAGGCGGACAGCGAGCCGGCCGAGTTGCGTGCCGAGTTCGGGCTGGCGCCGGCGCCGTCCAGGCCGGACACGCTGTTCCCTGATCCGTAGCCGACGCGAGATTCGGGCGTGCACACGTTTGGCCGGAGCAGCGACCCGTTGGCGGCCGCGGACGCCGCGTTGCCGGGCCACACCACGTCCTTGGGCGACGACGCGTAACCGTTCTGGTGGCCGCGGCCGCGGGCGTCTGATTGCCGACGCAAGGCTCGGTCTTCGTAGTTGAGGCCGGCCGCGCACGGCGGCCGCTGACGACTGATCGCTTCCGGCCGCCGAGCCCCGCCGCCGCCGCCGCCACCGCTACCGCCGCCACCGCCACGCCGCCGCTGGAGCCGTAGAGCTTGCACGCGGCGCGGCCACGGACGCTCGTACGGGCTGTCCTGCGGGGCCCTGGACTGCGATAGCCCGTGATGGTGATGATGCGCAAAAAAAAAATGTGATCGCTAATTAGACGTAAAAAAATAAACTACACGCGTGAATCACAATAAATGAGTACATATATTTTATACAATGTGCATACATACATAATATTATATTATTAGCAATACAGTTAATACGATTGCTGATTACCCGCGATTGTAATCTGAGCTGCAGTATTCCCCAAGTCGTATATGCGTAGGCCGATGCAGGTACATTCTGTATTACATTATACATATATCGGTATATACATACTTGATATTTATAAAATATAATATACAATATACATTTATGCACGCGTATTATACATATTATATATAGGTATATATTATCGGTACGCCGTACACGTTTTAAGAGCGCACGCAGGACGGAAAGGATTCGCGAGTAAAACGTCGCCGTCGTGTATATCCGCGAGATGACCCTGCAACAATGCCGTGTGTATATATATATATATATATCGAGTAAAACACGAATATTTTAAATAAATAAAATAAAAAAATTGCCCCATACGTACACCTATGTTTAGTACACACTACACACCCATGTATACATACGATATTATTATTACATTATAATATATGGAATACTTTTCTCATTTATATATATATATATACACGCGTACGCGTTACAACAAAATAATAATACGCATGTATTGTATTTATAATATATATGTTATATGCTGCGTGCACAGTTATTTAAAAGGTCATTGATTTAAGTGTGTGTGTGTGTGTATAAATCGTCGGGTGGCGTAGGCACACGCTTCGCTTTGATGGGGAGAAGGGGGAATTCGTTCACGGTGTAATCAATGTGCGATTTAGCCCCCGTATATACATATATATATATATATATATATATATATATACAGAACGCCGCAATAAATAATATAACATCGTGTAAAACCGTACGCACCATAAGTAGTAGGTATATAATATTATTATAATCGAACAGACTGTAGAGTCGGTTAGGTCAGGAATCGCAAGTCGTTCGAAAAAAAGGTTTCATGATAAATTCGATCTCGGCAACGCGGTGTCTACACGAATCTATAGTTAATCGTTATCCGTATATATTTTAATATTTATTTGCATTATTTTTTTCTTTTATCATAATCGTTTGTTAAAAATTTAACAACTATAAATATTAGCCCACAGTATTTATATATTATATCAATGTACATTGAGCTTAAAAGAGATAGATATGATCATGTATGATATTAAATATTTGTATTTTGTTAGTAAAGTTATGATGTCAAATAAAAAGTAAAAATAAATAAAAATATTATTAAGGTATCACTTAGACTTTTATCGTATATTTATACATAACAATATTAATACTTTTATATAAAGATGTAGGTATATTACGGAAGTTGTCAATTTGGGGTTCCTCGCGTATTACACGGAGCTTTCAATTTCGTTCCGTGAACTCTGTTTGAACTTGCATATCAGCAGGGGTTTGATTTTCTAATAAACTTTTCCGATAGAAGTCTTCAAGTCTTCATCCCGTTAACTGCAGCACGCTATAACAATCAATAAATTGTTTCTTTTATTCGAAATATAAACTCTCAGTTAAATTCATCAGTATTATATTATTATCGATTGATTTTGTAGAAAAACAATTGATTTAACCCATGTACTTATGTTCATGATTGTCGGCTTTACGCCATACTACCTTAAGTTGTTTGATCGTCAGAATGAGTGTTTAAACCGTAAAAGATAATGAAGGTACAATAAAATACATCAATGTATTATATTTTTATCTATGTGTCATAGTATGTTCGATGTTATGTAATGATAACGGAATTGAAATAGTTTTTTTTTTTTTTTTTTAAATAGCTGATTATAATACAATAATATAATAATGATGTCTTCAATGTGTTACATATTATATACATCCATTATATTACATCCATTATATGTATAGGTATACGATTACCCAGTACTGCATAGTAATATTGTAATGCGGTCCTATTTCATCTAAGTACTTTTAATCACCCTAGGCGTATACGATATGACTAATATAAAATATAATTATGCACGCGCGCTCGTAATTGAAATTGACGAACTAATATTTTATATTTGTTATCTAAATTTCCACACTGATAACTTTACCACACGACTGTTTAATTATACTTCAAACAAATGAATAAACTATATGTTTAAAATTATAAAAAATAAAAGTATATAATATACTACAACATTAAGCCTATATAATATAATATATTATTAAAATGAACACGAAGAAACGAATAATTATGGTCACTATTGATAACATTTCAAGCGACCTTGTATCTAACTGAAGCTATATATTCATATCAATATATTTTTTTTTTCAATTTCTTTTTTTTCTTTTTATGTTTTTAATATACCAGAAAACAAACAGTGGTATTAAGTATTGTATGCAAACTTTATTGCTAAATAAAGAAAAATAATTTACTATGTTCGTACGATCATGTATTGTTAAATATATCATCTATTTTCCTTAACATAACATAATATGATGATAGAATTTTCCACTGAAATTTAGAATTGTGTGTGTGTGTGTGTGTGTGTGTGTGTGTTCAAGTCACGTAGGTTATAGAAATTTTTTTAGCTTGCAGTTTTAGAAACACATCCTTAACAATATTAGTGTGTTTCGAGCGAAAGCACATGCGATGTACATCAAACGTTTAACGTGTGTGCCAGAGTATGTAATGTTTCTAACATTATTTATAATACATTATAATAGTGTACTGGAAGTTGTAAATCGTTTTTAATTAAATAAAAATAGCTGCAGAGAATATAAAATCATAATAAACCTATTATAAAATTCTAAAGTTGGATCAAATTTCATTTATATCAAATGTGCATTATATTAGCACAATAAGTATAACAATAATTACATGAAAATAAAATAATATAAAGGAAATTGTGAAGTATAAATGCACTAATACGATTTAAATTTTAAATAGTGCAACAGACTAACCTTGAAATTAAAAAAAAAAAACTGAATAAAATAAAATTTTTAATTAAATAAAGTCATTAGAGAAAACACTATTACCGCAAATGCATTCTGAATAAATCCAACCAGATATACCTTTATACAATTCGAATTCTATAACCCGAATAACAGTAGAAAAGAAATAAAAATATTTTTAAAACAAATACTGAAATTTCAAAGTGGTAATTTCTAAACCATAAATCCAATAATTTGTTTATTCAGTGTAAACGTTTTTTTTTTTTTTTGTTCTACGTGCCGAATTTACTTAAACAAAATTAAAGTCATGATGGTAATTCTTGAATTTTTTATATATATAAAAAAAAAAAAAAACAATGAAAATGTCATCGACACCCCGTGAGTCCTCTATACCGCCGCGCTGGTACATGAGCAGACAACTACGTATTATATTCTTTAACCGCGGCCATAAAGTACGAGTACAGCTACTGCAAAAACAATAATAATAATAATAATAATACGAAACGCATATTGCGTCTTCATAACATAATATCATCACGACTATCGCGCACGTGGACTACCGCGGTCTCGTATACACATACCTACTTTACACGACGAGATTGCAGTGCTAGATATTATTATTTCCTATAAATATTTTTTTAAATATCTATTCCGAGACGTAAACGCATCGCTATCGTAATAAAACAACACGCTGTGTAACGATGCTGACGGAATATATGTATCGCACACAATTTATTACAACTCGCATAACGGTGTAGACGGTACCGCGGTATCTTTAAAGCCTATTTATAATATAATATTATGATGAATAACGACCGCGTTTAAAGGTGTTTAAAATTCGATTCGTCCATCTGCGGTGCTCCCAAATATACCTGTAATTACTCGTAGGTATACATTATATCATGTAGATTTCAGTTCACAAACGTATGTGTACATCACGATCTAGGTATAATATATACGCATATTATTATTATTATTATTATTATTATATATACGATGTATTGATTATGGCGGTTCATAACAAATTACCGTAAAATATTATGCGCGCGTGCGGGTGTGTGTGTATGTGTGAATGTGTATTTCGTAATATTAGTTACAGCGTTAACGCTATCATAATAAAATATATTAAATCGCGGTATTATATTAGCACGGATATGATTATGCGTTTTGATCAGTGATGAATTCGCGCACACGGCGATTACTGTTATTACTTATTACCTATATTATATTATTATTTGTATTGCGGCTACTTTATGTAAATAGTCGACATCGTGTATACCTAATACAGCAACCGGACATGTGTGTGTGTGTGTGTATGTGTGTTATACAAATACGCGTTTAGGGAACGATTATGATTTACTAACAAATTAAAACTTGCGCTTTTCCCCGCGGTCCTGTTTACCTATAATATAATAATAAATCGTTCGGTTAAAAACGTGTAACATCTATATATAGTCGTGTCAACGAACGTTATAATGATAATCATCGTATTTCGTGTACGTGTATAATGTTTAATATACAGAATGATCTTTTTTCGACGCAAGACCTTCAATTATTTCGGAATGTTTTTTCAATACGTTTCCTTGCTTTATTCGTTTAGATTCTTGAACCTCTGGTAGGTGTATGTGTTAAAAAAATATTATCCTCTCCCTGTTCGTACATGTTATAGGCATTATACGTTCAGCGATAAATATGTGGCTTTTCATTCATGTAACATATATTATACATTTATCGTATTCAAAACAAAATACGATTTTCTAAACGTTATTATACATTATATAACTCTGGATAATAGTTTAAATTAATATATCTTTATACACAATAGTTGTATTAGATTAAATTCAAAGCTATATATATAGTGGAATAGTAGTTATAGTATGGAAATATTTTTACAACAATTTCCTAAGTGCTACTTTCAAAAATTTAAGTGAATTATCTGGGATGCTGCCAAACTGTCAAATACCGAAACGATTTAAGCATTTCAATTATAATATGCATAACTCACGTTATCTCTATAGCCTGACTATAGGTTATATCTCTAATCACTTCAAAAATAAACCCAATCTAAATATCAAGACAATTAATATGAAACTGTCTCGAATTTATATCAGAGGCTCCACACAATAATTTAGTTTCAACCTCAAACATTCTCATCAATTATACACTATTATCATCTAAATCACTTACAGATAATTTATAATACAACCATAAAAAAATCAAAATAGATTTGATACTGTAATAACTCTTCGATGGATTAGTATAAAATAGTATACAATACAGAGATCAGGTCAAAAACAGCGTTGCGCATAATAATATGTTATTGATAATACGTACCAATTGTTGCTAATTACTATTTAGGTAACTTTTTTGTTGGATATTAGCATATAAATTAAAATAATAACTTATCATAAGCACCGATAAAAATGTATAAGAACAAAAGTTTAATATAATCAATAAATATTTGAAAATAATTAAATCATTGTCCTGTATATTATGTCATAAAATATTTAACCACTATCACGATTGTATTAACATTTCCACGCAGAACGATGATTAAATAATAAATATAATACACCTACTTTCGCGTAAATGCGATTTTCATTTTTTAACTAAAAAATAATGTTTTAATGATACTTTTAAAGCACAAGTGAGTGTTACGTTATACATATTATAATATGATATACTCGAATATCATCCCCGGAGATTTCGACGACGGCGAAACTGTTACATAATACACAAGCATTGAATGTACCTACTTAACGAGTGTGTATACACGGTCAGAATAAACTAAAATGGTTTTTTTTTTTTTTATTAACTATAATCATAATATTTAACGACGGGTTTACTTTTATTATTTTAACATGCCCATTTATACACCTCTTGAAAAAAGTGTATAATATTCTTCTAGAACATATTTTACAAACATCGTACCACCATACAGACCGTTTTATATTATCTCAATAACAATAATAGAAACTTTTTCATCCCGTTTCGCGAGTTTATAATTTTTTTATATGAACGATCGGCTAATTTGAAATTTATATGGAAATTTACGAATATTATTAAATTCTAATAACGACTTCCAGCTTTAATGCATATTGCGTATAAGCCCATAGTTGACTCGTATAAATTATTTGATTTAAAAAAAACTTTTTTTTTCATCGTCATCAACATCAATTGTCTGTTATCCATATTGTAATATAAAAACGATTTACTTTTAAACCTGCCTATAATTCTTGTACCTAATATATTATAACGTAGCTATACATACTCAGGTGGCTACTAATTATTTTTAAAAACCGAAAATGTAATTATTGCGTATTTGTAGGAATCGTATTCATACACAACTGAGAACGGATGTATAGATTATTAGCGAGTATTTTTTATTAAAATTACATCGTGCGGATGTGAGAACTTTGTCCAATGGCCAATAGATATGTACGCTACAAATTACAGCCGTTCATATGAGTGCTATGTGCAAAGTTTATAATATGGTCGGACGTTGGTAAGTGAAAAGAAACATTGTTCGCGTTTAGGTTCCTACGCAAAATACTTTACGCGATTATTAATAAACGCCATAATTAATTGCGCATATTATAATATTAACACAATATTGCAATAGACGGAATACACGCACAAGCATGCTTACGCCTATTAATTATACATTTATATATATATATATATATATATATATTTAGAAGGAAGTCAAATATTATGAATTTACATATTTGCATATTTTTCGTGGATACATTCAAATACGAGAGTACAAATACATAGAACATAGGTTTATTATAGTATATATATATAATATATATAAATGTATTGTTATTATAAGTTATCAAAAAATTAAGCAGACTATTTATTTTTAAGTTGGCGATGTTAGCTGCACACAAAAGAAATACATTTTTTTTCTCGAATGCCAAAGATTTTAATACCTAATTTTAACTGTAATTCGCGTGTATTCTACTTAGACATTTTTCCGAGTTTACGAGTAATATATAATCCGTGTGTCTAGACTACATATCCATATTACAAATGGCATAATAAATTAATTATTATTTAAAAATTAAAAATCAAAAATGGTAAAAACAATACTCTTATATGAAATATTTTAAGTAACTACGTACACATTGTGTACACGGCTATATAATTATACGTTTTATAACTGCCCGTGCGTAATATACAAGTATATTGTAGTATACCTATATTATTCCTGGGGTCTTATAAATTATAGTTATATGACGCTACGAGATTGAGTCTAGACCGACATACGAAAATATGCAGACACTAACAATATATAATTCAAGTATAATATTTTATAATACAGCGTACACGCGTTAATGACTGCTTGACACGAATATTTATAGGTCCAACGTTTTCGCCGTGATATCTCGATATAAAACCGTGAACGATTAAAAACCTATACATATCGTAAGTACATACAAACTTTAATTATAACTATTACCTTATATCCTTACATACTTATTTCGTCGTCGTGTCCTTCGAAACTCTTAGTTTATCAAACGGAGACGAAATTTTCGTTTCCATAAATTACTAAGATAATATATAATATCCTTCTAATTTCTTTAATCTGTTTGGAAAATTAACATTTAGTTTTCTCGTTGATTAACGCTGTTATTATCGAGTAATAATGACCATTACAAAATTCAATTAAATTTACTTATTCATTCATGCCGTGATTCTAGCACGGCACAACGATTATTTGTCGAGTGGTTTTTTTTTGGTGATTTTTTTTTTTTTGATTCTGTGTGAATATAGTCATATATCTGCACGGATAAAACCGTCTTTTACTTGCCAAACGATGTGTGGAAAGACGAGTGGAACCGAAAGTGATTTCGCGAGTTCTCCCGACAGGTCTGCGATCATCAGGTGTATAAAGTACGACGACGCGTAATGATATTGTATAACCGAAGACGGTAACAACGATATAAAGTAATGATATGATAATGTTATGACGATCATCCATTGTGGGCGCGATCAGCTGTGCCACGTGTGCACGTATGCCAAGGTCAACGGCTGACCCAATTGCAGGGCCATTACCCAGAGGGTCGTAACGCGTTTTAACCACCCCCTTACCACAGGCGTTTTATATGTGTGTGTGCATTATGCGTGATACGTATTAAACGAAATACTATATCGGCAATGGCCGACGACCGGGTAGGGAGAGAGAATAAAAATGAAAAACTCGAAAGGATCACAGGTTTTGTCCGACAGATGACGCGGTCGCGTGGCACCGTTGTTGTCGCGGCGAGATCAGGTAGAACACGGATATTCATTATTAACGGATGCTGCAGCGGTCGCATCTCATCTCTACGTGTAATAATATAGGTGTACTCGGCGCAATAACGATAATATCGCGCGATCACTGTATAAACGCCACCGACAATAAATTAGAAACGAATCAGATTTTCAGGAGAAAAAAAAATATAAAAACCAGTTCGGGCAATAAAATAGTAGGTATTATAACATTATTTTACTATATAGATAGGAGAGACGAGCGCGCGCGCATAAAAACGGAATCCGACGACGCGCGGACTTTTATTAGCTGTTAACGGAGCCCCCGTGACGGTGGGCGACGATAATCGTTCGACAAGCGCCTACTTTATACATATTTATTTTTGTTTTTAAGTTTATGCCATCATTATTCGACATTTTTATTATTTTTATTATACGAGTGGGTTCTCCGCGTCACGGAACGACGATCGCCGCGCATTTATATACATATATGATACCTATTCCTAATGTACCTATTATACGAATATAATACACGTACGCCGCGTAATTCGGTAGTCATATGAATTGTTAATGTTGTAATAGTGTAAGTAGAAGTAATATAGTGTAGTAATTAAACGGTGATAATATTATTGTAGTATATTTGTATAAAATATATCATACTCATCTATATATGCGTACATAAAAATATATTATGTAAATTTGCACATTTCAGACCCGCGCGCGCGTGTTTTGAATATAATTCACGCTACCTGCATATTATATACTCGAGATATCATTATAACATTGTAGTATAGACGAGCGACCATCGCGATACAGGTGCAGTAGTAGCTATGTGTAACGTATAGGTATGTACACCACGAAGTAACCGGTAAAATAATATTATGACGGTTGCGAGATTGATTTATAACGATCTGGTATTTTATTATACATCAAAAATATTGTATTATTATTATAATTATTATACAATATCGAAGACAGACCCCAGTTAAAAACTCACAACCTTCCTCAACGATCAAAACCTTGGATGAATTTTATTTTACACAACGCACTCGGCTAACTCGCCGACAATGAATACAAGACACGGTATATCGACTAATATTGTAGGTACGTGCTTTTATCTAAAAATGCGTTTAAATACTTTCAAAGGTTGTCGCTGACTTGATACATACTCGTGATATGATATAGGTACGCGTGCGGTATCGGTATTAGGTACGCACTACACTGAATAAAAAAATAATTTACTTAACGATATAACCTTTAGGTGATTAATGATTATCTGCAAATCTAGAGGTTCGATAAGTATAATATTTTTAAATTATACATCTCGTGTCAGACAAAATGTATTTCTATATAATCATGAAATACTAGTTGATCTACAAAAACCTAATATGTACCTATATATATTCATTCAATCTTCTGTGGTGGTTAACTAATAACCATTATTATAACGTATTATTTTAACGTAGTGTCAAAATTAGAACTTTTTGTATTTTTTTATTTCGTTAAATTTCTGAATAATGACCTTTTAATTAAAAATTTAAGGTTACATTAACGCAGTTTTATTTCTTATTTTTTTTGTTTTTTTTTAGTATAGATCTGCACGTCGGTCATTCAATAGATCACTGCACGTCGTCGTTATAGAAAATAATAAATAGATCGTATGTTTAAACAACATCGCTAAAGGGCTTAATGGCTTAGCATAACATGCATTTGCATAAAATATCTTTCTAAAATTTACACACACACACACACACATATATATATATATAAATATATATATACACTGCACATATTAACAGAAGGTCGCCATTTATTATTTTTAATCGATTTTTGTTTTTAACTGAATTATAAACATTATGGAGGTGAATTATATACGTATGTTTAAATATATGTTATGGTCATAGCTACGTTTGAATTTAGTTTTAATAATTCCATTGTTTTATGCAAATATGACAAAAACGTATAACAATTCATTAAAATAAAAAATTAAAATAATGAAATTAACTAAGTAGCTAGATATCAAAAACTATATAACTATATGAATGACCTGAAACATAATTAAGGAAATAATTAAATTAAATTTGATGAATTATACTCGTATATTATAATATAAATTATTAATTTACCTTTGCGGCTCTGCTGTTAGATAAACGACGAGTGCGATAATTTATAATACTTATGCATTGTTATTCACATATTTATTTGGTGTTCTGCAGGATTCCCAAACGTTTGCTCGACTAATCTAAAACCATGTAATATAGGTATTAAAACATTTGAAATAATTATATATAACTCGAATTCTGTACGTGCAAAGGCGTATATTGTAATTTAAATAACTTTGGACAGGTATCAACGCACTCTGTCAAAACGTGTATAATCTTTTTTTTAATAAGCTGCATAACATTATATTGTAAGCCGTTTGTCATTATTGTTATATCATATTCAAATAATAGTAGGTTGAATATCTATTCATAAAACAAAATGTTTTTCGGACGTATAATTTACGGTTCGTAATATACCTACGGTAAAAACATATAGGTACACGACGATGGCCGCGGGACCATGTAAAATAGATATTTTCGATTTACAATATATTACATTATGATATATGATATGTTTTATAGGCAAACGTCCCGTCGCGCGTCTATATGTATAATATAATATGAAATAACAAAGCGGTCTCTCCTCGGTTTGCGGCCATAGGCATCTAATATACATGCGCACACGCTCGCTCAACCTCTCTCACTGTCTCTATCAAACACAATGTACACAAACGCAAATACTCGCGATTTCATTAAAAATTTTAATTCTATCCTGCCGAGTAGATACTCGTACCAAAACTGTACACGTTATGGACGCAATCGATGTCGTCGTCTAATGGCTCGTTTTACAGGGTCACTCGTGGATACTTTTAAGTAACTTCGTTATATCTATTGGAAAAACGTAATTAACAATGCTGATTCGGCCTTAAACCGTACAGATAAAATATGACGTAACGTACTTACATAATATTCACTCGCACGAGGCGCACCTAAAAATGTCTCGTTTCAAACTCCCAACAGGTCGTATTATACACGAATCCCACAAATGCGAGCGCCCGTTCGTTCACATATACAATTGTAGGATTTATTGATCACCCTTTCCTGAAATATAAACCACAAGAACACACGCGTACACACACTCACACGTTTATAAATACCCTACATATGCGCTTTCGCAAGTTTTCCAATGCGTATCGCCGCAATCCTCTTTTGGAGTCCGGCCATAAATCCGTTTCCATAACCACGATGGCGGCGGCGGTATACGCTCACTAATAGGGTAAAAAAGGAAATAAAATTCCCACAACGTCCGTCAAGTATGAACCGTATGATAGGGTTTTGAGAACAAAACGCGGAGAAGTAATAAATAAGTACTTTGTTTTTATGATTGTTGCCGTATTATTTATATTAATATTTATTTACGTATTGTGGTGATAGCGGTCATAGCGGTGCAAACCAGTCAAACGGCGGGAATGTTACTCGGAGCGGAAAAAAAATGGAAAATAATATTTACATGTAAAAAAAAAAAAAGAAAAAACTATACTCATATAATAATAAATAAATAACTAACAACGACTTATGCAGTAATTAAACTCGCGACTCGACTATAACGATTTATTACACGTTTTCTTTCTTTTTTTTTTCATTTTTATGTTATTGCTTTCGGTTAATTGCTTATTATTATTATTATTATTATTATTATTATTATATTCACCGATATTATTAAACGGCGTTTTAAACGTTCGCAAATGGCGTGCAAATAATGAAACGTTGTAATAATAAACCATCGCGCGTTTTGTATAGAGTGTAACTAATATGTTTATTATATATATATACATATATATTATGTGTTATTTGAACTTCTATGTCACTGGCAGTTGCCGCCGACGAAGTATATTTATATATACCATTAATATACTTTCAATATATGCATCCAAGAAAAGTGCATGAGAAATGCACACGACTCATTGCGTGCACCCAACCATAATATATATTTTATATTTTTTTTACCATTTTCGTTAAGCATTCTGTTTTTTATCGTTTTAATCACGTTCATTTGATTGTTCAATATCTTATTGTGAAGACTATTACAAGCTCGATGTATACATCATTGGTCAAGGGTCAATATATTATTATGTTGGTCATCAAATATATATTATTTTATATTATACATCATGCAATTTAACACAATATAACATTACGAGAACGACGTACGTGAAATGAAGGTTTCACGTTTCGTTTCAAGTTTGATGAGTCGACTATAAAAAAAAAAACAAAAACTGTATCTAATAAAAAAAGCACCGTTTAAAATACGTTGTGTGTATGTGTGAAACAGAGGAACGTGCTAAACATGGTTAGTAATGCAGTATAATATTATAATATACACCTATATGATATAGATATACATTTACGTCGTTAAAACATCGTATTATACGTGCGCGCGCCATTAAAATCGATAAATACACGATGAGTGTAATATATACACGGTAATTAATTCGTTTAAATATGTGTTTTGTGCGCGCAGATTTTGATGTGGCGCTATTAACTGTTTATCGAATCAACGCAAAATTAATATTACTATACTATATTACTACTACTACTACTACTACTACTACTTCTACCAGTCTACTGCTACTACACCATAGTTTAATAACGATGATTGATAATTAATAACAACATGCATTATAATAAATTGATAGATAAAAAAAAATTTCTCGGTATCTATTTCATACATAAATATTATTATAACGATCTCAACCATTTGTCAAAAAAATATATCCAACACCCTGAGTGTAAATGAACATAAATCGTCATAATTTTTTTTTAATTTTTCGTGTCAGGTTTTTTTTTTTTTTTATTTAAAAGTTTGCATCAAAAAAATATCTACTAGCAATAAAGTATACTGGTATAATAAATGTCATATTATGTCCATTATTTTTTTATTAATCACAAACCCGCTTACTTAGTGACTAGTACAAAACTCCATAATGAAATGTATGGCTTCTGAAACCCAATTTATAGGTACAAGTACAATATAATATCGCTATGGAATGATTACTGCCATATAGTAGAATATACACTGGAAACATGTAACAATCCATCAATATCACTAATAATTAAATCGAAGGTGCACATAGTATAAAATATGTTCTGAAACAAAAACATTATTATGAACGTGATTAGAGTTGTATAATATATATATATATATATATATATATATATAGTCTAGTCGAATGTTTTAACATAATTACTTGGAGTACTATAATATACGATTGAGAAAATCCGTGTTTTTCGTATAATAAATTATAACTGAGATAAGGAACATGGAAATCAACTAAATAAGATTACTATTAAGCGCTCATGATGTATTACAATACACGGCCGTATGCAATGTAAAATACTTAATATAGTTTGGTATATACGGCGTGTACCTATACGGCTATACATAATATATATCAAAACAGATTATATAATACCTACATGTTACTGAAAACCATGATACCTGTATACAATTATGGAAAATTAAACGTTCGGGCTAGGAGATGAGTTATTTTTAAAACAATATTTTCGAATGTTGAATAAAAATCCAAACATACTTAAAAACACTTGAAGTTAGGCAAAAAATATTTTATTGACGTGTATTCAAAAATTGCTTTTAAAAGACGACGTTTTCAAATAATTATTAAATTACTTGACGAAAAAAAATTCTATTGCATTAAATGACCTTAGATTAATCGACTCATACGGAGCGTTGATATAACAAAAAAATAGGTTATTTTGTGTTATTGAATTCAATGGCAAGTTTTCGATATGTCATATTTATCGAACTTTTAGTAATCATACACACACACATATATACACATATATATATATATGGTATAAATACCCATAATGTTTGAAATAATTAATAAATTCGGTTTTTATACTAGCCACCGCGTGCTTTATAATATTATATCACGGTATATTAGTATTTACCGCGTACCTAATTATTATTTCAACGATAATCGATCAGCGATACATATGTAGAATGTAGATATATGTAGAATATCAGTTTAAAAATGACTATCACATATTGCATAAGCCTATATCGTCACAAAATGTATGCGTGTCGTTTATTATAATCTACCTATTTGGATAACATTACCTGGTTTCGACCAGTTTTCGTCGCTTTCGATATTTACTAGAAACAATAAAAGAAAAAAAACTAACTCGAAGGCGCCGACAACGCTGCCGGTAAAATCGTTCAATTATTTTCCAATAAACATGATGAAAAAATGTACAGCATAATAACCTAATAATCGCCGAGCGTTAGAATTTATAATACATATTATACACGATATATACGTGCTCAAGCTAACATAATACACCGCAAGCGTATTATCGATTTAAAATGAGAAATTTATACGGTTTACACGCCGCAAAAGGGTTTACGATGTATGCAAACGGACTCGACGCGCAATAGATTTCCGGCCGAATTCATGAACGCGTGCGGCTCAGTTATCGTTAAAATATGTGTACAAATAGCGTATATTAATTATAATTATATATATGTAATATAATTATTAAGGCCGGGCGTAGGACAGCAGCAATGGATTATGTGTGATTATATTTAAATTTGTCGCTTTTCCGGCGTTTCAGGCCGAATTGAATAACGAATTGCAATAATAATAACAACATAATATATTATATTACTGAACATGTGTGCAGCTGCAGTAAGCGTCCGAATGTTTTTCGAACAGCTCTAAAAGCCGAAAACCCTAGTATAATACAGAGTGATTATTTAATTACGAACCAGACGATATATCGGCAAGACCAAGACATGTTAACATTTTTCTAACTTTTAAGAATGAATACTGAAGTCTTAAACTTTTTTTTGTGACAATCAGCAGTATTAGTTCTTCTAATGAAGGAAAAAAAACACGATTAATACGAGAATTTTTCATGTTTCTTAAAATATCACTAGCTAGTACATACTGTATATTATATCATTATTTTGTATAATATGTGCAATAAAATTTTCGTAATCCAGTCATGTATCATATAGTACACCCGCTTCCACGGTCAAACGACGGGCCAGCCCGAGTATCGCGTCGTATTTATATGCATTTATATAGGTAGATGGACGTGACGTGCCGAGGCCGAGGACCTTTTTCCGACCATGTGTGCGGGCGACGTATGTATATGTGTGCATGTGCTTGCGTGAGTTCCGACCGAAAGACCGGAAGGAAGGAAGGAAGGAAGTGACCCCAATTATACGCGCGATGTGCGTATTTGTGTGTGATGTGTGTGCCACAAACATGTATATATTACAGTGTGTCGTTGATATTATACTATGAAATAAGTATTAAACTGTAAAATATACGCAGTCGCAAATACGTTGTGAAATGTCGCAGATACTTTCCGAAAATATGCAGGATGCTGCGTGTATGGTCTTATAATATTATATGGCGTCGTAAACCAGTCGAGAGTTGGGTTTATAGGTGTCAAGGATGAAAATTATCATCAACCGCGGGTCATCGTATCGGCAGCGCGCGGCCGAAAAGTTTCCGAGCGTTATTATAATTGTATATACCCTTGTTGTTTTAACGCGAACCTCGTTCGGGTCGAGGACCGCGCGCGCGTCGGAAGAAAAACGGGATTCACTCGATCGCATATACAACGAATGTATTAGATGATAATATATCATTATAATCGACAAATTATATCCGGCTGACCAGTATATGGTGTAAGTCTCCGGTGCACGGCGACCATTTGGTGTTGAGCAAACAGTCTTATCGTTCACGCGCGGTGGACTTTCGAGGGAAATGATATTACATGCGCATAAATATAACATATTATAATAATATACGAGTACATAATATTATATAGGTATACATATATTATTCTAACGTAAGAAAGTGGACAACGGTCACGCGGACGACGATAACCACTGGTGCCGTTGCCACCTCCTCTTCTTATGCCCTAAATCTCTCGCTTGCAATAACATACGACTTGTGTACTTAAATTAATAATAATATAAAACGTATTAGATTATTATGCAGTGTGACCTGTTATCCTGAAATTCGTGTTCCTGTTGTTCATCGCCACGGAGGTCGAATGACGTTGGACTATGTGGTTGAATAAATAGTACGCGCCGTATAAATATTACCATTCTCTAAATTAAATAATAATAATAATAGTATCGGTTAAAGTTTTTTTATTTTTTTTTTTTATCGCAGCGTAACTAGGTAGATACTATTGCCTCACTATTTATCTTATATTTTATACCTAGCTAATAAATTAATTAAATATATATATGTGTACAATATAATGTATAAAATTAATCTAAAATATATATTTTTAGAGATTTTTACGATGAAATTATACATCGTTTAAATGTGTTTTTTGAAAATTATAAACTATTTTATATAATACTTTATTCAACGGTGAGTTAGCAATAAAGACATACCTAGTCGTCACATTTAAAATGTTGTTTAAAAATAAATTTAATATATAACCTCTTTTCGGATCTCATTATTATCATCATTAATTAATACTATTACTATACTTTAATAACAATTATATTAATTATGATCTGATCTGCCTTGGCACATTAGACACATGTACATATACAACATTACATATAGCACAGACATAATGTTATACAATTTATATAAGTATAATATACTGTATAATTATTGTTTAGAATAAAAACGCAAATAATATATGATTGGCTTGTCGTTAATAAAGATGGCTTCTAAATCCGTCGAACACGCGACACATAAATGTAACTTTATAATAATGCGATGTAAATTAATTGTAATAACACTGTAGTTATATTATATTTATGTAATCTACTTTATATTATTTATTTAATAATAATAGATCATCTTCTGGGTTTAATGAGCAAAAATGTGCAGGCGCTATGGATGTAATATTTTTTGTGTTCATTATCTCGTTTAACTTCTTTTTATTTTGTTGATATTACAAATTTACAACATGCAATTCACGCATATCGCATAACTTTTATAAATTTATTCGCACAACGTTATTAATTAGCGATTGTCAATGAACTAGATAATTATTGTAATTTTCTCGTTCGCCTTGATTGAATCTGGTACGGAATTGCTCTTGTTTATCGCATACAATAACTTGTTAAAATCATGCGATTGGAAATGTGTGCGTACGAGTAATTAAAACCGGTGGTTTGTTGGTGTGACGACAGTCGAGCTTTGTTAACCAATCGCGTAGTTAAATATTGTTCGATTTTTTTTTAACAAATGGACTTAAAAATTAACCGATAAGAGTATAGCGATACGCGAAAAAATTCTTATTAAAAGCGATAAAATCAAGAAATAAAAAATAGTCTACGGTAAAATTTCAATGATTATTATTGTTTACGTCGATATACGTAATACAAATTGTGCGTGAAATAAATTGTAAACAACGCAGGCGTTGAAGAATTAAAAAAAAAAAAAAACGATTATTATTATTATTATAGAATGAAATTCATATAATATTATTATATTGTCGGAGTTGGTTTTATACACGAGTAATATTATGTATATTTTACGAAAATTTATATTACACGCGAATGACCTATGTGTGCGCGGGTGGCAGTGACGGCGTGGCTTTCCGGCGGGGCTCGGCACCGCGGCACGGTGAGAGGGACGGTTTCACCCCTTAAGGGGCAAAATGGCAGGGCCTGGCGGTGAACGGCTGCGGACGGATATTTAGCATGCCCAGGAGACCCGTTTAAATCAATATAAGAAACCCTCTTATAACGTGTATACAAACATGTACATGTATATATATATATATATATATATATATGTATGTATGTATAAATCTCGCCGAGCAAAATATAATATATTATGTGTATAATAGTGTATAACGTACGCGCTATTTCGCGAGCCTGGTGAGGTTAAACCGCGTCGTGTTTGTTTTTCGTTAATGAGGCAGTAATAATAAAAATAATGATAATAACAACAGTATCGTGATGGCGATAATTTTTATTTTTTGTTTACGTCCACTAAGATATCACATCAACCGCGTTATGGAATATCGTACATGCATGTAACTAAATGTAGCTGGAGAATGGTCCAAGTTAAACTTAATGAAACAAATTGCACTTACCGGAGGCAGACAGTGGCGTTGAACGACGATGATGATTCCAGTGCGGATGCGTTCGACGAAATGCGACGCATTTCGACTCGGAGTCTAGGTAGCATAATATACACACACACAAACACATATGTGAGTACGTGTACTGTCATCGGCATTATTGAACGTGTATAATAATAATACACGCACGCACGTTGGGCAATAAATAACGTAAAGTGAAAGTTTTCAAAGGTGAAACTCGTTTTCGGCATCCCCTTTGTTTGTCTTTTGGACACCCTCAGGTATATAATAATATAATGCTATGTCGTATCCTCACAATAGACACCCGGGGACACCGCCATCATTGCCACTGCACGCGGTGCCTGCTGCAGTGTGTATATATGCTTACATTGCAAACTCGGGTTGCACACACATATATGCACATTTATGTGTAGGTATTATAGGTAGGTCTGGTACACGTACCCCTAGCCACGGGATCCGTTGACAATGCCTGAATTTCGATTCTGTACGCTCCACGACCGCCACCACGACCGCCGCTCGGGAGACTCGACCGTCTAACCAAACAGTAGTGCACGTTAGACCTTGAGTAGCGTGAAATCGGTTTTACAAAAAAAAAAAAATTATTTTTAAAACCCGGTAGCAAATATTTCGACACATTTTTGTTCTTGTATTTTTCTTTTTTTGTACTTTGTATTTTTTTAATGCGCTCCCGCCGCCGCAGGACGTCTTATTATATGCTCTGTGGTCATTTGCAATCAAAATAACGTTTAAGAATTTTTTGTGCATTCGCGGACGATAAACAATTTATATTCTACAACCTTTTCTAAGGCACACCCCGAAAACCAATCCTCTATTGACTATATCGTAAACGGTTCCGGTGCGTGATGTGTAATATAATGTTAATTATATAAACTTAAATACGGGGTTTAACTATCATGCTCCAGGATGTGCGTTTATATATACTCTTTTATTCGTTACGAGTGTTTTAAACACAAAAAAATCGTTCTTCCAATGCTCATGGAATTATGCTATTTATTAGTTTATTACAAACAAGTTCAACAATATGTACAATATACAATATACAATATACATACATATATATATTATTACATATATATTTATATATTTATACAAAGCGTACGCACGCATATATAGACGGTAATTATTTCCTAAAGGCATTTTCAAAAAATTTTCAGATAAAAAAAAAATGTACTAGTTCTTCTATAAATATTATTACATAAAAGTTATTAATTTATTACACATATTTTACGTTTAATGAGACGGTAGTATTATATCAGCAACATCGACCGCCTGTATTGCTTAAACACGAAAAAATTCGTCAGGTGGCGATAATAATTAACAAGTACTAAAATAATACCAGTTTATACTAATGCGCATTCGCCCCGCGCAGTCTAAAGTATATTTCATATAGGTATACAATATATAGAATGTGATGATCGGTAGATCTCAGTGGCAAGATAAACGTTTACTGAAAAATCGTGTTTTATAATATTACATTGTACATTATTATTTAGTAAGTACTTCTGCACACGCTGAATCTATGTTTCTAGCTGCGATTTATGAGATTTTTCTAAACCGATGATTTTAGCCGTAGTTATTATATTTAATTATTTTTTTTCATCCCGCGACCGTACCAAAATTTCAAAATATTTTAATGTATAATTTAATTTATAGCGAGAATCGAATGGTAAATGGTTTTTGTTTTACAAACTCGTTTTTGTTCTAGCCAACAGTGGTGGGGGTGGAAGAATTACTTTGGGCAATACATCACCGGTAACATCTCAATTAGAAAGAAAGAGAATCGTCCGTTTTTTTCCCTCGCCGCCACAGTAACCAGCAACTCTATACCGTGGTTATATGTGTATGTATGAGTGTGTGAGTGTACATGGCGCGCGCGGTTAAAAGTCTCCGCGCTCGTGTGAATATCTATATATATAGGGTTTGATACATGGCTTCGCGGCCCGCCCTCCGGTCGACCATTTGTGCGTGTGTGCATGTGCGTGTGCAGAAACTAATTTCTCTTCGGACAACACAACCTATATATATATATAATAGAGAACGAATAAAAGTTTAAAGCTCGCCAGCTCGGGTGAGGGTGAAAAAAATAAAAGTATTATTGCCGCAAAAACAAAGTCCACACATATATATGTAGAAAAAAAAATTAAAATTGTTTCCTATCGTAAGACAACACACACATAATATACGTGCTCGCCCTTCTTACGTATATATAATAACACGTATACATGTATATGATGGTTTCTTAAACCGTCTGGACACGCGTGCGGTAGATTCTTATGTATACATATATATATATATATTAATGTAACCGAGTGAGGAATGCGTTTCGCGGGCAACTTGAAAAGTCGAGGTGCTTGTGATTTATTCTCTCCGCTTCGTGTTCCGGTCCGCGCTGTATACGGGCTGAAACTTTGAGTGAGTGAGTGAGATAGAGTGAGAGAGTGAACGGACAGAGACCCCTTTGGTATTGTGCCCAGATTACGCCAAATTGTTCGGCACACACTTGCGGACACGACAATATAACATCTCTTACGATTTATATGATCCTATACGTACGGTGGGGCAAGTGTGTACAGTGTGCTCGCAGCAACCCGAGCATAACGCTCCATAGTCTGTATCGTTTTATACAGTGCACGCTGTATACGTGCATTTATACATTTTTAAGTATGTATACATATTAACTAAGAACTTATGTCAGGTGTCTACAACCTCTGGTTTTTTCTACGTGTAAGCTATACTTATCATAATACAGGCCTATGCCACCTACGTTGTACGGCGGTCACTATGTATTATTATTATTATTATTGCTATTGTATATACGTTTGTTCCGATGAAATTATTACATGCGCACCGTCGTGGCATCTTTTCTTCCCCCATTGCATTGTTGCGAGCGACCATTTGATCTCTAGCAATTTTCGTGTAAAACGTGAGGTAATTATATCCATAGCTTTTCCGCTCTTTTCCACTAATGGAGGTAATGCCCAGTGCACCATACAATAATGCACAAAATACGATGCACTCACTCAAAGATATTGTAAGTACGTGCACGACACGTTTTAGTGACACTTAATACACCTTTATACGCCGATCATGGTGACTTACGAGCAATCACTGAACTTTATATGACATCAGTTTTCGTTTTAATTATTAGTACCATATTACTTAAATATTTAAGCATGATATCAAAATAATTAGTAGTAGGGCCGTTAACTAAAATTAAATCTCATTTTTACCATGTCGTTAGTTATGCACACTACACTTATTCGTCTCTGCGAATATTATTCTCTGTAAGTGGTTTATTAAATTGATCAAACACCGGAGTATTGAATTCTAAAACGAAACATGACATCGTTACGTGCCGTCGCGTGCATTAAAAAAGAACGATGGCAATTTAGCCGACGCAGTATATTATTTATTTATTTATATATATCTACAAACATTAAACATCATGCAATGAGTATTCACGGTGCAGAATACTTGTTGGAATTAACATCGTGGTGAAATTTAGTGCAGTATCTAGGTACACTGTTCGTATTACGTGTATATAAAATAATATTTATATGTATTTATATATATATTATTATGTGGTGGGTTTGTCTCGGAAAGTTATTGCCGAAAAAACGTTGAATAAACGCGGCGAAGTGGTGATAAGACAAACCACGATGCCCGGTAATGGATTCGTGTGTATACATAATGAGCAAAGTATTCACAAAAGGAGGCGATAGGCATTGAAAATATGAGTACATATAACTCTGAAAAAATAAATACATATATAAAATCCGTACGTACACACGCACACGTTTACAATACATATACGCCGCCGTGGCGAAGGGGGTTCGCGCTCGTGCAATTTTTTCCTACATATACCCTCCCTTGGCCGTCGTGGGAGCCCGCGATTTATTGCCAGCCAGATAAAAACCGTGCGGTAAATCATCGCGGGTACACAAAAGGAGCTTTTACTTTACTTTTTTTTTTAAACGATTTAATTTTTTCTCCACCTCTCCTTCTAATTTTATTTCGCGTTTTTTTCGCGCTCGCACGATAAGAAGACCTTTTTTTTTCCAACGATCCCTTTAATAAGTCGACGACGAGTATGCGCTCGTGCGCGCGTGCAATATAATCGTCGCGCGCGGGGTAACGGGAAAAGACGGAAAAAACTCCAAGGTGGTTGTAAGATCGGTGATCTTAATTGCCTGTACTTTGCCCCGGCCGACGGTCGTTGCCATCCGGACCTGCTGCAAGTGTTGGTGTGTAGCGAGGGAGGTGCTTGCAGCAGAATTCCTACAACAGCAGTGGTATTACATCATATATATACGTTTCTGCGTATTGTATTTATGTGTGCGTATATGCGTATATACAGGGGAGGTTATTTTTCAAATGATAAACGTCACTGCCCCCTCGTTGCCGCCAAGCACCTTATAGTCGCTAATGGAGTTCACTGTTAAAATAATTATTACAACCATCCCGCTCCTTAAACGCCGCCACCTCCCTGACCCCCGCTACATATTATACTGTTGGTGTGGCGAGGAAGGCTTTTTCCGACGAAACCCGCGCCCGTTCGTCCTGTTCAACGCATATAACTATACATGGTAAAACGACATTAATCTTACGCCGTGTCGCTTTCCGGCATTCCAGATCGTAATTCATTTTCGCCTCAGGATATATATAGTATTATGTAGCTGTGCAGTGTGCTAAAAGAAAACTAGCTGTATGAAATTTGCGTCCCGTATAACGGAGAAACAGAGTTACACGTTTATAATAAACGAGAAACCTCGTAGCATCAGTTTACAATATATATATATATATAACACATATATAGACCCGACAAGTTTTGTCTCCGAATTTCGGTCAAATATAAACCTCCGGAAGAGTGCCAAAAATGGCACTTTAATACTGGTGTACTAGAACGTCGTTAATATACATAGAATTATAAAAACATGCGAATTTAGAAATTACATTTACGATTCGATCACATACCACAATATATAAGAGCAATAAATACTCAATTATATA